GAGAGTCCTGGTTTATTTAACAGGGGAGGCTGCAAGGATTGCAGATGCTGCCACGGCGACCGAGACGCCCCAGGCGGCCTCCGAGGTAGCCAGCACCCAAGCCTCCGATACCTCCAGGGGCACATGGGTTGTAGCCTCCGACGGCGACGGGCTCACAGCTGGCGGACAGGATGGCACCAGGGAGGGTGATCACAACTGCAGGGGGCTGGATGGTCACCTCGGAGGCTGGGACCTGGTTGATGGGTTTGGGGATGACTCCGGCCAGGGTGCCCAGGCTTCCTGAGGATTCGGCCAAGGCCCCAGCTCCGTAGCCGTAGCCCAAACCATAGCCGAGACCTCCATAGCCGAGACCTCCATAGCCGAGACCTCTGGAACCAGCTGATCCAAAGCCAACAGCTGGGGCAGAGGCACAAGATGGCACAGCACAAGAAGGTCCACAGAAAGCCATGGCTGAATGGAAGAGCTGTTGGAAGAAGAAAAAGAAGAACCATGGGTTTTATGATTCACACCTAGAGCACGAATAGCATCCAAGAAAGAAACAGAAGACTCTTCCTGGTATCGTGGACAGGAAGCCTCAACATACACAACAACAGAGTTGGATGGGACCTGGGAGGTCTTCTAGTCCAACCCCCTGCTCAAGAAGGAGACCCTCTATCATTTCAGACAAAGGACTGTCCCATCTCTTTTTAATGAGCTCCAGTGTTGAAGCATCCACAACTTCCTGAAGTCAAGTCAAAATCACACTTGGGACTGTCATAAATGTGTGCTTGTTTTCAAACCCTCTAATTTTGATCCCATTGCCAAGTTTCACTTGTTTTTATGACCTCTTTTGGCTTGGTCATTAAAAGAATCCAGGTTTCTCTGTTGGCTTTGCTTCTTGGAAGTCACCTAGAAAGCTCATAAACTGTGACTATATGAGAGCCTGGGACATTGCAACTGGTTAATCCTGGGATCAAGAAGTAATTGTTTCGTCTTTTCTCAAAAACCTGCAGAGACGGCTACGGTCCCTATCAGATAGCTCTTCCACAGTTCTCCAAATCTGCAAGTTTCCCCTAACATTTGTCTCTCATTCTGAGACAAACATGTTTTCTGAATGCTCAGAGCTCTTAAATGTCTTAAAGGTCTTTCCTTCCTTCCTTTCATCCATCATATTCTGAGTACAACATATTGTCAGTCTTCCATGCCACCCCATTCCATGAAACCAAGAGCCATAACAACTCAGAAAGGCATCTCAGATACAAGGGACTTACCAGAGAGACTCTTGGAGAAGCAGTCAAGAGGAGGAGATGACGCTGATGGAAACTCTCAGCAGGAGAAGCTCTTTTTATACTGTTTTTCTGTCCCCACCACTTATTTAGAGACACCCCCTTTTTTACCACAGGGTTTCATTAACAAGCGTTTTCTGCATAGCTTCCTTCCTCTGGTGCAAATTATTTTAATAAGTAGAAATAAGTAGTTGAAGACTTAGCATTTTATCAACCACAGAAATTGTGGTTGTCCCTTTAATCTTTTCTTTTCTTGTTTCCATGAATATCATTCATTCATTCAAAGTACAATGGATGAATGAATGAATGAATGAATGAATGAATGAATGAATGAAGTGAATGAGTGAATGAGTGAGTGAAGTGAACAATTGAGTGAGTGAACAATTGTTGTTCACTGTTGTTATTGAGGGACCTGGTCTATTCCTAGCGTCACCATCTCTCTTCATGTTCTTACAAGGTGAAGGCAACAATTGAAAATGACAGAAAAGGTCAACTCTTTTCTCAATATTTAAGATCAAGTAGAATTGGCATTCATCGTGCCATCATTTGTTCCACAAAGTCAGAAGTCTCCCAGAGAAGGAACCTCTACTGATGGATTTCCATCACTGATAATAACTTTAAAATAATCTACTAGTATTCCTTGTTCATTTATTTACTGACTCTGGCTTATAGGCTCCTCCAGTCCCAGAAGAAACCAGCACAAAAAAAGAGACAAAAGCAATAGAAACAAGGAGAAGCAATTCACACCAGACCCACGACCCATATCTTGGATCTTCACACCACTCCAAATGTGCTCCAGAACACCCATGTTTTTGCACTTCTTTGAAAGTTTAGTAAAGTTGGGTTGGTCAAAATATTTGGGATAAACCAAATATTTGGACAGGGGGACTATCATGGAGAAGGTTGGACGCTGAGCTTCTGGAGGTGACAAGACCATCACGAGAAGGTTGAACGCTGAGGTTCTGGTGGTGAAACTCCATTCATGATGGGACCTCCTGGATGCTTCCTCCTCTAGATATCACTGCAGAGTGGGATTTATCTACCCTACTAAGCCATGTTATCTAATTTATTTGAACAAACCATTGTTATCAGAGCTTGAGAACTTGTGTCCCAACAGCAGCACGTGTCCTTCACACTGCTTCAAATCTCTAGAACAGACATGTTTTCATGGCTCCATGAAAGCTTACCAATGTTGGGTTGGTCAACCTTTTCAGGTTAGATAGTTCAGAAAAGGGGACTACCATGGAGAAAGGATGCTTCTCCCTCCAGACATTACTGAAAAGTAAAGTCAACCTGGAGCAGGTGGACTCAGGTTCAAAGTGAACTGGGGTTACTGGTTTTCAACAAGGCCTTGAGAACACCATTCTGGCATCTTCCCATATGTTGGGTAGTTTGGGGGATATTTGCAGCGTCATAAGCTACCCATCTTGAAGTCAAAGATATTCTGTGCTGATTCAAGGAAATGCCAACATTTTCATGAAGTTGCTACTGAGGAAAACAACTCAGCTTTGATCCTGACTTTAGGCCCTCCCTGTGGCAGTGGCACATTTCCAAGATCAGATAAACCAAAGCGTTAGACCTGAAGTTAGCAAACTTGAAAGGATGCACAGATCACCCAGTAGCTTATTTGTGGTGACATGATGATTGTACCTCAGAATGCCAAGGTGACGATTTCTGCTGAGGGAAGAACCTTTTTTACTCTTTTGAATGACCAAAAAAGAAAATTGTAGGAAGCCAAATGACGTATTATGAGTCCCAACTTCCTGGGGACGCAGAGAGAATGGTATAAAAACCCTCTCTGCTCTCTGTAGCACCATCAGCTTCTGGTTGACTCTCCTGTCTTCACTACTTCTCTCCGAAGCAGGTAAGACTATCGTCTCAGAGAGAATCCCTCCTGGTTGTGAGCAGATGAGGTAGATGGAGGTTCTTCAAAATATGGACCTCTTTATAGGCTAGAATGCTTCTGCTTTCAGAACCAGCTTCCGGTGTTCTATTTGAAGGAGTAGGAAGACTTCATTTTGAGTTTCAGAAGTTAGAAGTCAGGGTTTGGAAAGAAAGGGAGAAAAAGAGAGTGTTAAAGGGAGGGAGAGAGAGGGAAAGAAGAGAGAGGGGCGAATGGAGAGAGAGGGGGGGAGGGAGGGAAGGAGGGAGAGAGGGATAACAAAAGCAATCCAGTCGTTTTGAGATAGCTGAAGTAGATTTTCAAGTCAGAATCTGAGGTTCTTCAAAATATGGACCTCATCATAGGTTTGAATACTTCTGCTTTTAGAATCATGCTTTCTGTTTGAAGGACTAAGATGGGCTTCATTTTGAGTTTCCCCTCCCCCACTCCTTCTCTATTTTTAGCTTCCCATCCTAAGAGAACTGACTTTATGGTTAGGATACTGGAAAATAATCAGGTCTTTTTGAGATAGCTTGGATGGTCATAAAATCCAGGTTGTAATGACAAAAGATTGAGGGTAATCAGTTAACTCAACTGTTAACTAGAAGGAATGATTGAGACCCAATATTGACTTCTAACTCAGAGGGCGTGAAACCAGTTGAGAAGTTGAGGTCTAATTTTAGTTTCAGAGAGAGTTAACTAAAAACAAAATTGATTTTGTCCCGGAATGATTCCTCTTAGGTATTACATATATTAACAGCAGCAAGAATTTCATATGCTTAGTACTGGACGAAAAACTCCATACCACCTGAAGGCTTAAGAATAATTAAAAAAATTAGAGTGTGTGGAAATGGATAAATTAACTATGGCATTACAAGGCAAAACAGACACAGAATACAATGCAGTATGGGAAATATGGTTTATTCGGATTGATAATAGATATAAGAATAGAAAATGTAAATAAAGTATATAATAAATAAGAGGGTATGAAAGTATTATGTATTGTAAGTTTTGATAGGACACATAAGCGTATATATAATGTCACAGCACTGTTTAATAACTATTGGTATTATGTATACATGGAAAAAAAACTCAATAAAGCATTATTTAAAAAAAAAATAGTTTCAGAGAAGATGACAAGAAAAATATGGGAGGACCTTTCTCATGATCTCTTTGGGATTTGTCCATTAGCTGGCCAAAGAAAGAAGCAAACTCTTCAGCCTTAAACCAAGGCACAGGGCACAGAGCTGGACTAATATTTACAGAGTATTTTTACACTTGATGGACTTGAGACACAGAAATGCAGGTTTCTCCCCTACTTTATAACTGAGGTAGAACCGTGGAGCCTGGGATTTGATGTTGAATCTTGGTGACCATGCATTGTTCTTCTAGAACGTTTCTTTTTTTAGTCCTCCCTGTAATCTGAGGAAGTCGGTTGGCCGAGGACCATCATGTTGGATCCAAAGTGGGCTTCGAAAATAACGGGGCTGCTGAAGGAAAGCCAAGTGCTTAAAGCTGGACCTTTTCTTCAAAATGTTCTTCTCCCCTCTAAGAAAGGGAAGGGTTTGGGATTCAGGCTCTGCCTTCCAAAGTTCATGGTCCGTACTGGTGAGCCTCCTGACCATTTCAGGTTGAGGAAAGCCTAGCTTGGGAAGATCAGTTAGAGTCTACCATTCACTCCCGTCCGAGCAAATCAAATCCTGTTAAAATGATTGTGTCCGTTGACGGAAGAAGCAAGGGGTATGGTGATAGAAATGAACTGAATGCAATTCTCACAATCTCTCTCTGTTTCTTACGTTAGACTCACTTCACAACTCAACACCATGGCTTTCTGTGGACCCTCTTGTGCTGTGCCATCTTGCGCCTCCGCCCCAGCTGTTGGCTTTGGATCAGCTGGTTCCAGAGGTCTCGGCTATGGAGGTCTCGGCTATGGAGGTCTTGGCTCTGGTTTAGGTTATGGCTACGGAGCTGGGGCCTTGGCCGAATCCTCAGGAAGCCTGGGCACCCTGGCCGGAGTCATCCCCAAACCCATCAACCAGATCCCAGCCTCTGAGGTGACCATCCAGCCCCCTGCAGTTGTGGTCACCCTCCCTGGTCCCATCCTGTCAGCCAGCTGTGAGCCTGTCGCCGTCGGAGGCTACAACCCATGTGCCCCCGGAGGTATTGGAGGTCTCGGACGCTTAGGTGCAGGCTACCTCGGAGGCCGGCTGGGGCGTCTCGGTGGCCGTGGCATCATCTGCGATCCTTGCAGCCTCCCCTGTTAAATAAACCAGGACTCTCCATGACCAAATACAGATTTCAGAAGATTGGCTAAGGCCCTATTTTGCTGTTTGCAGTTTTCACAATGCTCCTCTGCCTTCTCCAGGTTGCTCTAGATCCTATTGCTTGTGTTTTTCCCCCAATATTTTCACAACCAGCAGAGAACTACATCCTCCTGTGAAATTATCTCTCCACTAAATTGATCAGTCAAGGTATCAAGAAGCTGTGCAAACATCTTCTTGGCTACAGAGGTCCTTCATTGGGTTATGGTTATGGATCTGGTGCTTTGGCTGAAAGTTCGGGCAGCATAGACCCCTTGACTGGTGTCACCCCCTTCCACCATCAACTAGACACCATCAATCGAGATCATCATCTAGCCACCTGCTTCCATTGTGACCATCCTTGGTCCTATTCTCTTCATCAGCTGTGAGCCCATTCGCATTGGAGGCACCTTACCATGTGTAATCTCTGGTTCTTTAGAGAAGTGAAGCCTAGGCTTATGGCTTTGGGAGCACATGGACACCTGAACAAAAAAGAAGGTGTCTTCCAGGATATTGTGGAGATGTCTGCTTGTCTTTATATTGCTCTGGAAAAAAAAAAAGATTGGTCTAAGCCTAGAAATGATCTAACATGGACCAAGAACATGAAGGTTATCAGGGCTTAGAATCTGAAAATTCTTTTTCCACCAGACTGGCATTTCTTCTTTCTCGTCTCAGCGTCGCTTCTCTTTATTTGCTTTGTATGTCATTATTGTTCCTTTGATAATTGTCCTTTGTTCCTATTTCTTCATTAAAACTCATGCTGCATTCTCATTTCTGAATCTCTGGTTTGTTTGTTCGTTTGAAGTCCATGCTCTTCTCATTACATTTTCTGAAGAGTGAGCATTCCCACAAGAGTAGTTCTTCTGTAGAGGCACCCAATCTGCCTAACCAGGCTAGTTTGAGTTCCAACATATTATATGGACCACCAAACCCATCCCATCCCAATGGGAAAGTCCATTTGAACCCCAAGCCCAACCAGGTTGATTATGGGTCACACCGGGTATCAACTCCAAACCTAGTCAACCGGGGGAACAGTGTCTCTCTTCCACCCAGTCATTCCTCCAATGAAACAACACAGATGTACAGAGTTGCCCACAACACAAGATGGTTGATTGCTAAACCCAACAGGTGTTAGAATACTTCTTGGCTGTTGCTCCCGAGTCCCACCTACTTGTTCCTCAAATGTCCAACAGGAAAGGGGGGCGGGATGTAATGAAGTACCCTGAAGCAAAAGGTTATGACCTGTTTCGTTTGTTGGCATTGCTGGTTGGACGAAACTGAGGCATGGTGGTTTGTTAAGCATCGATTGGGACCTGAAGTCTACCCCTTGTGGCTCAGGTGATAAACTATGGCTAAGCAAAAGAGGGCTATGATATTGTGTTCTTTCTATTTTGCCTTCTAAGAAGAACCTTCTTCATCATCAGATCTTCACTAATGGGGCTGAGAATACAAGAGGTCTTCAAAAGAAGCTATGCTAGCCTGGAAGGACCTCTGAAGAGTTGACTGACCTCTTTCTGAAAGGGGTTCTGGAGAACTCCAGAACCCTTACTCTACAGGTTTACTGTATCTTGTTTTTCCATAGCTGTGGCAAAATACACAGAAGTTCACACACAATAGGTTTCACCAGGTGTGATAAAGATCTCTCTGTTGTATTCAGATCTCTTGTTATATTTTAGGATTATGGCTTATTGTTCTGGGCAAGCAGAGGTGAACTGACTGACCAAGTTAAGTCCATCATCATCCTAATCCTGTGACATTTTTATGGTTTACTTTCAAATTTGGATCTGTGCGAATAATTTCTGAATGTCTTCTGCACCTTAAATCACATTGTAACCTTTATGCAAGCAATAAAGGTGAATAAACAACTCCAACAGGATGTCCGTGGAGCCTCACGTATTTAATTCTGCCTTAATTGTGTTTAATTTTATTTTTCTAATAACACCACAGCCAACCTGCATTTTTCCCTACCTTTCTTTCTCGTTACCTGGATTTAAACCCAGGGCAGGAATTTCTTGCATATTTCTTTTCAACAAGAGACCTATTTTCAGATAACAGATAATCAGAGTTGGAAGGGATCTTGTAGGTCTTCTAGTCTAACCCCCCACCCAAGCGGGAGACCCTACACCAATTTCTGGCAGATGGGAGTCCAATCTCTTCTTGCAAGTCTCAAGTGATGACACTCCCACAACTTCCGAGGGCAACTTCTGTTCCGTGGGTTGATTATTCTCACTGTCAGAAAGTTCCTCCTTATTTCCAGGTTCATGTCTCCTTGAGATTGTTTATCTGTGCTTTTATTTTATTTTATTTTTCATCATTTGAGGATAATTTATAATTTCTCTTTTTTTGTATCCTGAGGGCAATCATTCAGGGACACTTTTCGCTACAAATTTAAAAAAAAGAAAACATTTGCATCAGCAAACGTCAAGCCAATTTTGCAAATATAAGCTCGAGGGCATAAGAGAAGGTGCATTGTAACACGAAACTCCCGGCGTCTCGGGGATCCTAATAAGGGATCAAGGAAAAGGTATGCATTTCCCACTAATTATTTGATATGCTGAATTCTTTGTGAGCTCAGCTTTGTCAAGCACTGAGTCAGCGGAAAAGACCGAGAAAAACATTCTCGCGTCGTGCTGACATCGAGATGGCTACAATTTTTAATTTAAATTCCTCTGCTTTTTATGAGTGTCTAGGATGACTCTTGGAGTCTGGGATGCAGGTTCATAATTTTGGGGTGCCCAATTTAAGATATCCTGAATTTTCAGGGCCTTTCCATTTTATCTGAGCTGGTTTGCATGATCCAGATGAAGCCTTTTTCAAACTGTGGTCAGTTTCAGAATTTAATTTCACAGAAGTTTATCCATCCAAGTTTCTTCCAGATAGACCTTAGCTTTTACAGACAGATGGGGGAGAGAAAAAAAATATATCAGGGATTATATTTTCCTTATTCTCCAGGTAAGATTTTTGATTTTTGTCATCCCCTATTTGACTTTGTTCTAAGCCATGAATGAATAAATGGATGGATGGATGGATGAAATACCACATTTTGAAATGTGTGAACTCCTCTCTTGGACTGCTGTTTTCTACATTGCCTCCACCTTGCTACAAGGAAGAGGAGGCCGAAAAATCGAAAGAAAAACCAAGAGACATGGAATTACGTGCCTGGAGGTTTATTGAAAAGGGCCACGAAGCAACACAGTGGGTGAAAAAACCATGAATTTCACAGAGAAAAGGAGCTGAGTCTTGAGCAGTTCAAAGGAGAAAAGAACTCAGGGAGAGAAAAGAAGAAAGCTCAGACCTTCTACAGAAGGTCTTCCAGTCCAAATCTTCTCAATCCAAGACCAGCAGAAGCAGTCTCATCATTCCTGTCAACATGAGGGTCCATTCTTTGGATTCTACCTGTCCATCAATAACCACAAGGGATGAAGACGATGTTTCCACGGCCTCCCTGAAGAGTTCTCCCACCGAGCAATCCTCTACTCAGGCCTGAGATCCTTCCTAGGATCCCAGATCCAGGAGCAGCACATGGTGTGTTGCCTCCAACGGCAACAGGGTCACAGCTGGCAGAGAGGATGGGACCAGGGATGGTCACAACGACGGGAGGAGGCTGGATCACGATTTCTGAAGGTGGGATCTGGTTGATGGGTTGTGGGACGATTCCAGACAGGGTTCCAAGTTCTCCAGAACTTACGCCTCCTCCGAGAAGGCTACTTCCCAGGCCACTCATGCTTCCTCCTTGAAGGCCACCTCCAAGACCTCTACCACCAAGGCCAAGGCCACCAGCAGAACCAAGACCAAACTGTGGGGTGGAGCAACAAGATGGGACGACGCAGGATGGAGAACAGAAAGCCATTGCTGAAATCTGGAAACAAGATCAAGAAGGAACCAAGTCAGAACAAAGGAGAAGAAAACAAATGGATGTATCTTCATCATTTATCACACTTCTCTCCTACCAGTTTCCCAAGATAAGTTCTCCTAATTTTTACAGCTTTTCCTCCTCAGACACAAAAACTTTATCCATGGATCTTAGGAGGTACCAAGCGTGGAAAATTTCAGCTATCAATTTTGGAAGACCAAGCTGGTCATGACCACACAGAGCCATTCTCACAAAAGGTGTTAGCGTGGAGAAGAATCAGAAGACCTCACTGGATCCTAAAGGACACATTAGCTAAGCATGGACATTTCTCCAAGAACCATGGCCTCTTACCTCTTCTTCTGAAATCTTTGTGTGAAGACAGGAGAACTCAAGTGAAGCCGTTGAGATACCTGAAGAGGCCAAAGCTTTTATACCATTCTGCTGGCCTTCTCAAATGTCTAAGAAGCCACCTCTTTTGTCTGATGTTCTTAGTTTGCAACACCCATTTTTACCCTTTTTCCTGAGTCAGAATAGTTTTATTAAGAACTCAGCAGAATTAAGGTACCATCAAAGAAAGTTAATAGCCCATCAGTCACTTCCTCTCGTCTTGCGTTGTTCTTTGCATTTCCTTTGATTTAAACCCCGGGGAAGGAAAATAAATAAATAAATGGATTACAAATACCCTGGAGTTCAAGGAATCATCTAAACACTCCCAAATTTCTTCTGACAGCTCAGAAATTCTTGCTTGTAGGCAGCGTGGCTACCAATGGGATTTGTAATGCCACGAGATCAAAAGGGTCACTACCTGTGGATTGACCAGACAGATTTTGCATCACCCTTTTGTCTGATTTAAATCCAAACTTTTTTTTTTTAAAGGAGGCCTGATTTAAATCTAATTTTACACCTACAGACTGTCTTCATGTAGCACCAAAATCAGGACTCGGTCATTAATTGAAGCAATGGCTGTGTTTGTCTACGTGTATTTACCCAACTAATATGGCTGTAGCATTATTATTTAACAGAATAACAGAGTTGGAAGGGACTTTGAAGGTCTTCTAGTCAACCTTCGGCTCAAGCAGGAAACCCTATATACCATTCCAGACAGATCTTTTTCTTAAAAACCTCCAGTGATGAAGCACCCACAACTTCCAGAAACAAATTGTTCTACTGATTGATTGTCCTCACCGTCAGGAAATCCCTCCTTAGATGTAGGTTGAGTCTCTCCTTGATTAGTT